TTATTGGTTTACTGTATTTGACAGGGTTATATAAGGCAAACCGACAAAATATTGCAGATCTTTGGAATACCGATGGTAGTGGCATAGATCTGTTTCGTACAACGATGTCACAACAAAGATATCATATTTTGTTACAATGTCTACGATTTGACAATATACACAATAGAGAGCAACGCAAAGAGATTGACAAGTTGGCAGCCATTAGAGGAATTTTTGATTGTTTCGTTGACAATTGTAAGGCACACTATACACCCAGTGAATACCTTACAATTGATGAGAAGCTAGAGTCATTCAGGGGACGGGTTTCATTTCTTCAGTACATACCCAATAAGCCCGCAAAATATGGTTTGAAGGTATTCGCCCTTGTCGACGCGAGAACCTATTTTTGTCTGAACATGGAAGTATACGTCGGCACTCAGCCAGAAGGACCTTTCCGAAAAAGCAACAATCCGCAGGATATAGTTCAACGTTTGATTGAGCCAGTATCTGGAACAAGACGCAATATTACTTTCGATAACTGGTTTACGAGCTACCCTCTCATGATCAATCTACTCGAAACGCATCGTCTTACATCGGTTGGGACAGTCAGGAAAAATAAACGACAAATTCCATCAGCTTTCCTAGATATACGAACCAGAGAACCTCGCAGTTCAAGGTTTGCCTTCAAAAAAGATATCACGGCTGTATCATACGTGCCAAAAAAATCGAAGAATGTCATCCTTTTTTCTACCCTCCACCATGATGACACAATAGTTGAAGAATCTGGTGATAAAAAATTGCCTGAAATTATCGACTTTTATAATTCCACCAAGGGTGGCGTTGACACTCTGGATGAGTTATCTGCTAATTACAGCGTAGCCAGGAACAGCCGCCGCTGGCCTCTGACTTTATTTTTTTCATTTTTGAATACCGCCGGAGTAAATGCACAAGTTATCTACAAATCAAATACGCAGAACTTACATATGAAAAGACGTATATTTCTGAAAGAACTTGGTCTACAACTGATATCTGAATTTCGGAACCAGCGAAGACAGAACCCTAGATTGCGCCGAGGACTACGAGAGAGCCAGCCAGCAGAACGTCATGAACCTTTATCTAAACGACGCAGGACAAGCAGTAGATGTTCTGTTTGTCCAAGAAACAAAGATAGAAAAACATTTTATGTCTGTATGCAATGTGATATTCCACTTTGCATGGAGCACGCATTTTTGAGCTGTGAAAATTGTGCCAAATTAGAATAGCTATAACTTTTTTACTTTTGGTGATAATATTTCATTTTTTGTTTTGTTTTATTCGTAGGGCTTCTTTCTAGAATCGTTTGTCAGTTCCTTCCAAAGTTATCAGTTTGAAAATATGTTACGTTCAATAATGCTTGCCTATGTTTTTTTAGGAGCTGAATTGGTATTGTTTCCACTTTATATTCATATTTTTCCAATAAAGATCCTTTGAAATGAATTCAAATTTTTATTCGACCGACAAATAGGTAAAGAAACATATTTTATCAATTTAACAACCAACATCAAATTTTTTTTTGCATTCTAAATATATTTTGGTTTGGGGTATGACATACCCCAGAACACCAACAATGTAACTTTTTTCCGCCACACTAACGAAGGGTTAATAAACGGGTGTTTATGGAAATTTTATATATCGAGACATATAATTTTTTTTTTGTAATGCACAGGAGTTGATTTCCAATCATTCCGATCAAAAAAATTGCGCTAGCTTTTCAATGAAAAGAGGGAGGGAATGATGAATAGTACTTACATTGAAAAAACTCTCATCACCACAGTTTAGTGTAAAAAAATTCAACGATCTTAGTCTCATTATGAAGGGTTTTTTCAGTTCTTCCAGATGAATCACGAATCAAGTCGATTACATCATGTGGTGGCCGCTAGATGTCTTCGTTTGAAAAATCAGACAATTTTCCATTTTTTTTTTTTCGAGAATTTCAAAGGAAACCATATATTCAATCTACTCTGATATGAAAGTAGAACAAATGAGAAGAAAAATGGTGGAAACCACGAAACGAAATATCCTGTATCTACGAAATTATGATTTCAATTATTCGTTTATTTTGGTTTCACAAACTGCTGTAATATCTCAAAAAAGTGAAGGATACTCTAAGCAATGACATAGCTGATTGAAATGAATGAAGTGAGGTAGTGAGTAGGCTCAGGAATGAGAAAAAGCAAGTTGTCTCGAATGAAAGAAACGTCAAAATATTCTATTGGAAGTTTTCACTGTTCATTTAGGATTGTTTCTGTCAAAATACCGATATCGAATGAGGAGGCATTTGGCATTCTAGTAGTTCATTTTGAGTGCATGCAGAATGATGTTATCGCTACAAGAATTTATGCCTGAGGATATCCAGCCAGGCGAAGATACAATGAAAGGGCTTGCGTCTTGATGGACGAAATCTACGAGCTACTGGTAGTATTCATCGTTCTGTTTATCCAAGACGGCGGAGAGGTCGCACAGAAGAGAACATCGTTATTGTGCTAGCATATATCTTGATTAATGTAAACGACGAATTTCATGGCAATCAGGGGTAGGTCACGGAACCGTTCAAAGATCATCGGTAAGTTCAGTCTCTTTCATCAATCAAAATGATGATGAGAAAGATTATGATGTTTATCATCATGTCATTCGTAATAACGAGTTTTTTAATAATGGAGAGTCAAATTATTTAATTCTTTGAGATGATTCTACTCCTCACCTATGAATAGTCAACATTCAAACTTTTTTTTTCAGGCTACACCCATATCATGTAGTGCTGTACCAAGCCTTAAGTGTACAGGACAATGACAAAAGATTCGATTTTTGTTACTGGCTGCTTGATATGTTGGGAGATGATCATTGGAATTTAGTTAATATACTATGGACAGATGAAGCAACGTTCAACAGTAATGGTCCCAGAATAATCATCATTGGATGCAGGAAGTTCAATATCAAGGTAGATGGAGTGTGAATGTTTGGTGCGGAATTATTGGAAAAAAAATTATAGCACCTTATTTTTCCGATGAAACTCTCAATGGAAATGTTTATCTGAATTTCCTACGTGATCAACTACCTCTTCTGCTAGAAGATGTAGACTTAGAAACAAGAAGATATATGTTTTTGCAGCATGATGGATGCCTGGCAAATTTGCTATCAATGTGCGCAATTATTCAGATTCACGGTATCCTGACAAGTAGATAGAGAGGGGTGTGAGAGTGGACAGGTACGTCTCCAGATTTGACTTGTTCAGATTTTTGTTTATGGAGGAGATTGAGAGATATTGTTTTTCAAACCCGACCAACAGCTAGGGACGATATGATCAATAGAATCAGAACTGCCGTCGAGAGCATACCAATAGCCGGAGTGGAAGCTGCAGTCTTATCTACTCGACGGAGACTCCATTTATGTATTGAAAATGATGGCAGACAACTTGAACATCTAGGAAGACACTAGTGCTACTAATTGTTTCAGTTCCTATGCAGTTTCAATTTAAATTATATTATTTCGAGTATTTCTCAAGTTCTTCAAGAGGTTTCAACTCGCGGTTTTCACAATTTTTCTCCTCGTTTACTCTACTTTCATATTATAGTAGGAGAAATATATGGTTCCATCCAATATCTTCAAAAAAAAAGGCAAATCAACTGATTTTTCGAACGATGCCATCTAGCGTCCACCACAGGATTTAAATCGACTTGATCCGTGATTTATCTGGAATATCTGAAAAAAAAACTCCATAAAGAGACTAAGATCATTGAATTCCGTTACACTGAACTCTAGTAATAAGAGTTTTGTCAAAGAACTATTCATCCTTCCCTTCCTTTTTCATTTAAAGACCTAGCGCAATATTTTTCAATCGAAATGATTTGGGATCATTTCGAGAACATGCAATAAGTGTTTTTGATATGTCTTGCTATATCAAATTTCCATTAAAAAACATTTTTTTAAACTGGCCAGTGAAATTATGCCCTCTAGCGGCATACAGTCGGCGTCCTTTCTTAGTGGTACACCCGGTACAAGCAATTTGCGATGCGAACTTGGGAATTCGCCATATTATTGCACGATAGCCCGGATCAGTACACGACAGTACAATATTCAATGACAGCCCATTACCAGCAATATTTGAGAATGACACATTCGGTGATAATTTCATACTGGGTGATAGTGGACACCCTTGCAAACAATTTTTATTGACATTACTTTTCAATCCGCGGAATGATAGTGAAACTGAATATAACAAAGCACATATATCGACACGAAACACAGCTGAACGATGTTTTGGGTTATTGACGCCGCTTTCATTGTCTTTATTCAGGCATGGCTTTGGAATCGGTTAATGATCTACCAATAATCGTGGCATGTAGTGTCCTTCATAATATAGGAATCAACCTACATGACAATGAGCCACCAGAAGAATTTCCATAAGATGACTCGAAAATGCACTGCAGTTTGAATAGCACTAATCAATACAGTGTTCAGAAGATGATTTCTCAATTATTGGATTGTTTTTGATGATGGGGAATTTATTTTGTTCATTCAATCTCCAAATATTATTTAAAAAATCCACGAAAAAGAATGGTGCCACTTTAGTGGTTCAACCTTGTGGTAATGATAGAAAAAATGTGTCCACCTCCGAATTGAGTTATCCAAGCTTTTTTCCATTCCATTCATCCCGTTACAAGGAAGAGGAGGGAGCTGCCTACATTTTGTTGGGACACTTTGAATATATTTTTCTCTACTGTTCAAGAGTTATTTCACTGGTGTAATCAATGTCAGAAAATGCATTTTCTAGAACAATCAAAACAAATGAAAACATAATCATAAAAACCGAGTTCTCTGGAACAAGACTCATTTATGAGGTTTACTCAGTTAAGTGTTCCTTCGATCAGTTGTTTACAGAGATAACACACTCAGAAAAATTTTCACAAAAATGAAAGATAGGAAGGTTAAGAGGAGAAGCATTCAAGAATTTGCATTTAATTTACTTGAGCGGAAATGATGCAATGGTAACCACTCATGCTCATCTGGCGGGACTAAGAGACATGATAAATTCTTGGTTCGATATTTTGTTGTACACCCGAGTCTATAGAAATAAGTACGAGGGACACAACTTATACGAAGAGTTGACTACTATCATAACCCTGTATACAGACTTCTCAAAAACACACTCAACTTATCATCACGATGCATTGAGAGCCAGGCCCTCGCTGGTCATATCTGCAATCTTGAGGGATCTTCAGAGAGATGATCGCTTTTGCCAAAGTCTGTTAAAAGACTTCAAGCCTATATCCGAGAGCAAACTGTTCACACACCTTACCAAGAGAGTGCACACTCAACAAGAAGCTCACTTACGCCTGGAAATGAGCGGATTAGGGAAATGTTTTGGTCATCCTATTATTAACATGACGGAAAGTGTTAAAACTTGGATATCCAAACGATCTGTGAGCAAACCAAACGTAGAGAAAATGGGCATACAAATAGCCAACACGTTCAAGTTAACATTCTGTCGACTGTATTATAAAGAAAAGAGGGTATGGCCAGCTGCAAAAGCAGAATTAGTGTTATCGCAAAGGATAGCAGAAAATCTAACAAACAATACCTGGAAGGAATGCTCGGAATCCTTGGAGAGCAGAGGAATTTGGTCCTCTAATATTAGGACAAACCTTCATGTTTAACAATCATGTGGACTTATCAGATTTGCTATCAGACAAATCCATAATACCTCAACGTAGTCAGTGGATACATGAATACGACAAACAGGCCCACAGATTTCCCACCGGACCCCCTCCTACGAGTAAAAGTGTTATAGTCCACTATCTGAATATGGAGGAGGTCACAGTTGACGAAATCTCAAGTCTGATTGAAGACGGCTTGATCCCGGAAGAATGGAAGATTATAGTCAGGGTTCCTAAAGAGAAGGAGCATAAGTAGGACAACGCTCGATTTTATGCAAAAATGACGTTCGAAGGTTTACGGTCACCCATGTCTGTGTTAGACAGTAACTCTTCCAATTTCTTTTCTACACTTATTGTGTGTCGTTGAATGAGAGTGTTTTTTAATTGAACATAATTTTGATCCTGATTTTGAATTTTATCCCAAACGGTCATGATTACTTCTTGTGGCAAAGAAGATATGACATGTTCATATATTTAGTGGAATCGCGAGTTATTCCTTTCAAATTGAATTGAACCTCTGCTTGAAGAAACCATGCCTCAGGAAATTGTGTCCAGAAAGCTGGCAGTTTAACGGAGGTTGAGGCCTGTTCAATTCTATTCCTATCAGGATTTGCAACACCCGAACCTTCATTGTCCGAGGGCATTTTGAAAGGATTCGTGAGAAAAGAATGAATTGTACAATCTTCTTGTATGTTCTTGAAGAATTGGGCTTGAGATGAACCACTGTAACGATGGAATTTTCGTCTTCTCAAATCGGTGGATCATTCAGTTTTTCATTCCTCTTCTCAAGCGTGTTATAATATTGTGCTTCGATATAGGTACGCTTGGATGTCCTTCTTTATCTGCGTTGTATCAGGAGATAATCCAGCTTCAGTGACGGGTAACGGTATATGACTCCACGTTTCAGGGTTCAGCGTCGGGGTCACCAATTATGTGGGGGACGTGTGTACAGGAACAAGTAGATACTAGGTATAATACCAAATCAATGGTCTCTTCAATTGAATATCTTTTATTTTATTACGAAATATTCGATGACATTTCCTTTTAAAACATTCAGATCATTCTAGCCAATGTCAAAATCGATTATTCAAATAAAAATCTATCTTGACAACCTAAAACTTCTAGCTCCTCCAGATTGCTGGTACAGGGTGATGCAAAACTAACACGAACAAAACCGAAGCAAACCTCTACAATGAGATTCGATATTTAGTGATTTATCCAGTTAACAGTATTGAGTGATATAATTCAAGTCCAGAAACATGCCATGTGGTCAAAAAAAAATGGAGTTCATATCATCCACTTCTGTACCCCGTACTCCCCTGTATAAGGCCGTGATATCTGAAATGTACTACATACCCTATCGAATATCACTTACACAAAAAGATTTAATATTTCTTACCTTTCTATCGGAAAGGCCTAACACAAAAGTAGGTGTCCACCACCTGACCTGATCGCACGAGAGCCAAAAAGGGCATCATTTTGGCTTCAACACATGAAACCTCTTCGCAAGAGAAGGAATCAGCAAGAAGTTTCCGTCAATCAGAGCACTTGTGATCTATTTCAAAAAAATATTGCAAACCAAATTTCGTCTCTGCGCAGCGTCAATTTAGCCACCCAAATAGTATGATTCAAGTCAGATTCAAGGATGCAACTTGAAAGAAATATTGAATATCGATCATGATATCGATAGTCGATACGATAGTCGATTCGATAGTCGATCCAGCAGTCGATATAAAATCGTGAATATCCCTGCACCATTACAGGCCACTGCCACTAAACGCGACAAACAGTCTTCTTCTGCCAAGAGACTATGATGTGAACAACAATATTCTTGGTCATCTGACAAATGTGTAAGATTGGATAAGGAGTGGACTAAAATAACCTAACAGTCATCCAGTCATGAACATTGAAAATGAAAACATTTAACAAGATGGAATTATGTAAAGTACCTACCTCAAAAACTATAAACGAAATCATTGAGTTACGCAGTGCATCCCCATTACCTATTTGCAGAATTCACACCATGGAACACGAAAAGGCAAATCTTCATGTTACAAGATGTTTTGTTTTGTTTTGTATATTGCGACTGCTAAGTTGAGAACTTTGTGTATGATTCTGGTCACCCTCATCAAATATCTTTTACAGATATTTTATGTGAGTATATGGAATTAGATTTTGAAGATAAAAATGTTATATCCCAAATGTCACATCAAAATTGTTATACTTCACAAATCATTCTCTAATTTTTTTGCATTCAAGATCAAAAGAATATACTTCGGAACTCATAGTGGGGATGTGAACCTGTGGAAATCATTATAGAAAGATGTAGCTCATCTAGAATGATGAATAAATTGATCTCAGTCAGTGTTTTTGATATGTGATATTTTTGCTTAGATCCCTCAGGGCTGATGAAGAGTTATATATAAATAGATAGGTATTCAAAATGATTCCATAGCCTTCCACTTCAAACTACTACTACTACAAACAAATCATTGTCTTCATTCAATTGTTAATTATTACATCATTTTACAAATTCAGGATCCAAAGATGACCTTAGGAAACGAAGTGGTGTTATGAAACTCCTGTTCGTGTTCTTCACAAAAAAGTTGCTTCAGTTTTAAACTGAAAGTTTCCTCGAGACTTCCACGAGGACCTCAGAAATGGAATGGACTGCGGTAACTGCAGAGATGGAAATACAGTTGAAGCTAGAGGTACCAACCACCTGGATAGTTGGGCATGAGTGCTATTGGCCTTCATATACAGTGTGTATTTGACACTTTATTATTTCACTAGTGACACAAAAAAATCATGTTTCATTTAATGAGAAATGCCTTATTCCCCATTCGATCATTCAGTATTTCTAGTATCACTTTGTATAGACTCCCTCTAGAGTTTTTGTGTTCAAACACTATCACATATCCGGAGACCACACATACAAGGTTAATTCATCTAATCTCAACATACAATTTCATTCAATCCATTGTTGACAAAATGCAGTATTTTGAATGAATATCAATTATTTTTATGAATTCCTAAAAAGTTCCCAGAGCAAGCATCAATGAAATTGTAAGCTATAAAAGCTATTTTCTTATGCCTATGTACCTGCTTCCTTTAGCTACCAACTTCATTATTTTATTTTGTGCTATGTTAATGTTACGCGTTTTTTTCCTCTTGAGTGTTTTTCGTTAATGTATGAGAGGAAGTGATTCAAGTTCCACTTCCGAAGATGGAAAAGTACGGCTGAAAAAACGACTGAGAACAGTAGAATTAAGATGTAGAATAAGAGATTTAGGAGATAGTTGGTGTGCACCACGTGGGTTTAATGGTCGCTTTATTTCGCCATCGACTTCCTGATCTAGGTAAAGATCTCGGTCCAGACTATTTATATTGCCTAGAATACTCATAAATCAGAACTGAAGTTTTGAAGAGAACTACCAGATGGGCAAAGACTCCTGGGTTATGATGATGTTCAAGATCAGGAGTCCTAATATTCTTTGAATGGGTAGGAGGCTCTGCATACCCAGATAATGAAGATACTAGGTGCTAAAGGCATCTCCAAATCTATATTAGAGGAGGAAATTCATAGCTGTATTGCTACCTATTGGAATTCCACATTGTCAAACGATTAAACCTGAAGTTCCACCAATGAAAAAATGTGTGCTTATGGTAACTCCCAAGATCAACCCAGAGATCAAGAGATGAAGCTGCTTTCAGAAGAGATGCTCGTCTTGCTGACCTTCAAAACCAAATTGGGGCTAGTTCATCTTCCTCAGAAAAATTACTTTCCATGCTGTTGGGAGTTTCCTGTGAATCAAATGAAAACTTACAACTTATTTAATTGATAAGTGGTGCAGGAAGAATGCTCGCAGACATCTATCAATCTGAGACTGTGTCTCGCAGGGCTATTTTGCGTATGCTTCTGAAAAAATCCTACACAGAAGCCTCAACAAATGCTTCTATAGATGAATGAATCACTGAAGCATACTTCTATGGCAAAGTTGAAACTGGTAAGGCCTTGAATACACCAAGTTTGGATCTGGCAACAAAACAGTTCAAACTAATGAGTAACCATTCAAACTGGAAGAATCAGTCGCGACAACGATTCAAGAGGCATCAGCGTTATGATGAACCAAAATCTATAAATGCCAGCAAACAACAAAAGAACAGAGAGAACCAACTACCCAGAACAGGTTATCCGAATTCAAAGAAATTTGGAGAGAGTTTACAACGGATCCAATATTCAATATTGGATTGTGGGTTATTCTATATCATATTATAAGGAAGATTATCGAGTCTATCCTCCCACAGGGGTCGGTGACAAAAAAGAAGATTCTGCTCTTTCTTCGAAACATTTGATAGTAATGGAAACTGTTGAAAAATGCAAATTTTGTAATTCATAATTCATATCAAATATTTATTCAGGTATCGTGGTACAAACGGTTCATTTCTGACCGATTTCAATGAAATTTCGTCCATTTCTATAAAGGAATGAATGTACCAATTCATTTTAGTGCAGAGGAGAATGAGGCAAAATCCTCTTCCTTACAGACTTTTTTTTTCCGAGTCTAAAGATATAGGACCTTCACCATCTTGAATATAAATGATTATAACAAGATATTCCAGCTTTTTTTCTATGGTACCGAGAAAAGTTATGAGCAAAACCTCGAAAATTTGAAAAAATAACTTTGCGCGTATACAATGTGTCCCACTTACCATGCTCACCATGGGTATCTTTTTAACGGTGACAGATACGAGGTCGGTTAAACGACACTAAATGTGGAGTTTGTCAAGGCCAACTATAATGTTAAGAAATATTTTGATAAAATCTATTCGTTTTTGTTTTATACGCAAAAAACAGATTTTGATCATTTTCATGTCGCCTCCGTAACTTCTTTATTTATGGAAATATTCAAATAGGAATTTCACATTCTCATGGCAGTTTTTCAAAGTGATTTCGGAAAAAATATGAAATTTATACCAACTCTCCTAGAATTTGAGAT